GGGGGGGGGGGGGGGTGATGTGGATTTTGTCAGCCATGGGACTCGATGTTCGTTACAATGTCTGCACTGTTGGAACTTCATCTTCAGCCAGGCTGCTCCTGGAGGAGACTGAGGGCAGCATCCTGAAAGAGGATTTTGAGGCTGTTAAGGATGAAATTATGTTTGAGAGAAGCATGAGAGATCAGTTTTCTTTATGCTACATTGGTGGTGTTTTCGCGCAGTTGCCCTGATTCGGAATCTGGCTGCAAACTGGTGTAGCTCTCCATGCCCGAGTGCCGTTATGGGAGAAAACGTTCATCTGGGTCGACCGTAGAGTCCCTCTTAATGTCTGTGCTTGGTTTCACTAACTGAGCCCCGGTGTAGTGAATATGGCCAAGCACATGCTCGCTCACGGGGTCCATTTAAGGTGAAATGCTGTGTCTGTCATATAGGCTCTTCTAGATGAGAACAATGTATGCTAACTGTATCTCTCTGCCATCTTCCTTCCAGTTCAAGAGGATGTTGAACCGGGAGCTGACTCACCTGTCGGAAATGAGCCGCTCTGGGAACCAGGTGTCCGAGTTCATCTCCAACACCTTCCTAGGTAAACGACGGTGACGGGCATCGCAAGACCCACTGCGGCGGTGCAGGGGAGCACGGGGGGCGGGGGGGGGGGGATGCAGCCTGAGCAGTAGCGTTGCAGAGCAGACCGGCGCTGTTTTCTCCTGCCAGAACAGCTTTACGCTTTGTGGTGACAGTTCGGTATTTTTGGATGCGCCAGAGAGGTGACGAGAGAGTCCAGCGGCGGGCGGGAGAGTCGTGTCTCCAGGTGTCTGGTCCAATCCCAAAGAGCCACACATGTAGCCTGCCCCGCAAGGTTTATGACACACTTGCCATCTCTACTTCTCAGATAATCAAATATATTTATAGCCTTGAGTTTTACTGAAGCTAGAGCCTTATAGAGTTGGGGTAGGGTTTTGAGAGGGGGGGGGGGGTTGTCTCAGGTGTTTTGGGCGAAGTCCCCAAAACTGCATGAAGAATGCACTTCAATCCAGCCAAATTCTGTTTGCTTTTATTGGTGTTGTGGTGGGGGGGGGCTTGGGAGATATTGGGGGGGCATGAGCATACTGTAATTGCTCCACACCGACACCCCCAAATCCCCAATTAGCGCCAGGATGCAGGCACCATCTTGGCTTCCCCTCCGTCGTAACCTTTTCGGCCTCCTTGAAATGCGACATTGCATGTCTGAGGCGTCGCAACTGTCGGGAATGGATGTTAAAAAGGGTGCATGACGAAATCGAAATCCAGACGGGTGCAAACATCGCTGGTCCATGAGCAGAGCATCCCCGAGCATAAAATTATGTGGGGGAAAAAAACAAGAGTGGAACATGGCAGTTTTACGAGGGGGGTCCGATCCCCCCACCCCCCCCAGATACGAGACAGCTGCGTGAATAATTCATGAGAGGCGTCAGCTGTTCCGGACACGTGAGATGGTGTGCCAGGAAAACCGCATCTGCGAAAAAACAACACCCACCGAGACAGTCGCGGAACACCCTAAAATGGTTGCCTCTACATTTTGGCTACTGGAGGGAGGGTCTCTTCTCCACAGAGTTCAGCCTCTGTATCCAGTCGGTTAGATATGAAGCCCCTTTTCAGATATCTTAGATTCTGCCAAATTCAAGGACTCGGCGATGAGGTAATAATCCAGATTAATGTTCCACTGGAGATGCTAATGAATAATTAGCCATTCTCTGCTGCGCTCCAAAATGAAATGCCGTAGCTGTGTTGTTCTGTCACCGAGACGTTTTATTGCTGAAAGGAGAGAAATCGCCCGTCACTTGAATTAGTGCCACGGTAACTGAATGTCCTTTGGTGGGGAGGGGGTATCACAGATTAAATAGCACCTGAGATTTGAATTCCAGTCAAGAAATACCTGTCAAACTACAGAAGCCAGTGCGGCGTTAAAGGTCACGTTCTTGCAGTGTTCCCTCACCCCCCCCCCCAACAGCAAATTGTGCTCAATATTATATATATAAAAAAAAAACAGATTATCTTTGAGATGTCAAGTAGGGATTGGGGGGGTTAAGAATCAGGCAAAAAATGGAGATCCTTCCACCCTATAGGGGAATCTGCCCCCTTGAATCACAGCATGTTTAAGGGTTTTTTGAGTGGCAAAAGGCTGTTGACATCACCCAGAGAAATGGGAGATACCCAAAGACAGACCCCATGATCAGAATCTTTCAGTTCATGACCCTTGATTTTCTTCTTGCCAAATGAAGATTTTGAAATTGGATATTAGATTTGGAATCTGAGCAGTCTTAGAAGGGATTGTGGCCTTTGCCGTTTAATTGGCCCAGATCTTCATGCCAGCCGCATGGGGAAAATTGTGGATTCTGTGATGCTTTTGTTCTTTTCCGTTGCCTGACATTTGTGGGAGGGGGATGTTTGTTTGTGTGGATTTATTATCTCTGAAGAAGCTTTGCATAAAAAGCTGAACCAGTCTTTTTCTTTGTCCCTTCTCTCTTCAGACAAGCAGAACGACGTGGAGATCCCGTCTCCCACGTCCAAAACGCGGGAGAAGAAGAAGAAGCAGTTAATGACACAGATCAGTGGGGTAAAGAAGGTGACACACGGCCCCAACGTCTCCAACTCTAGCATCCCTCGCTTTGGAGTTAAAACTGACAAGGAGGAGCAGCTCTCAAAGGTAACATCCTCATCTTTAAACAACACAGTTCATCATTGGCTGAGAAAATACTTCATCCCTTTTGATGTTGTTGCTAGGTGCTATACAAAAATTAGCTGAATTGCGTTGAATGGGATTAGCACTGTCCTGATTGTGGATCTCCTCACAGAAGACACTAACTCCTGCCCTTTCTGCTTTCTCCAGGAGCTGGAAGACCTGAACAAGTGGGGCCTCAACATTTTCAAAGTATCTGAGTTCTCCAACAACAAGCCACTCACATGCATCATGTACGCCATCTTTCAGGTCAGTGCATTCTTCTGTTACAGTTTCTTTCCTTCCTCTTTTTCTCTATGCACCATATATGTACTTTATCTCGTATATAATGATTTATATAAAAAACATGCAATCTGCCACTATAGTAATTCTAGAAGATGACCGGTATCTAGTTTATGTATTTCTCAGGTAAAGGGACGTTCCACACATCTAATTTGGTTCTCACACCCTGTCACTCAAACACAATGCTATAATTGTTTCCCTTCCCCCAGTAATGATATTTTTACTTTTGCAGGAAAGGGACTTGATGAAGACGTTTAAGATCCCCGTTGACACATTTGTGACCTTCATGATGACGTTAGAAGACCACTACCACTCTGACGTGGCTTACCACAACAGCCTGCATGCGGCCGACGTGGCCCAGTCCACTCACATCCTCCTCTCCACACCTGCTTTAGATGTAAGCACCTTGTCTCCCAACGCACTTTGCCTCAGACGTCCATCACGTCGCTCTTCTAACCTCCACTAGCCTCCAGATTATGCAGAACGTATGACGGAGTTCAGTTTTTCATTTGGATGTTTCACGTCTTTAGTTTCATATTTATTTATTCAAGGTCTGCTAGTCTGGTGCACATTTAGCGCATGTTCTATAAGAAAGGCAATGTTTTTCACTCAGCACTGTCTATCTCTGCATATTTGTCCAGTGGGATAAGTCCAATGGGACGAACTATCCTATTTACTCATATGACTAACCTCCCTCTGCACCTATGGCAACAGGCCGTCTTCACAGACCTGGAAATCCTTGCTGCCATCTTTGCCGCAGCCATCCATGATGTTGACCACCCGGGAGTCTCCAATCAATTTCTAATCAACACTAGTGAGTGTTTCCTCCTTCCCTTGCAATACTGGGAGAGATCAGGCCGAGCTTCATATCTCAGGCATGAGGATTGGCGCCGTTTGTGGTTGGCGTTGGGCATTGTTTACCTAGTATACCTGCTTACCTAGCTGCCCTGTTTATGTGTAGATTCAGAGCTGGCCCTCATGTACAACGACGAGTCGGTCCTGGAGAACCACCACCTGGCTGTGGGGTTCAAGCTGCTACAGGAGGAGCACTGCGACATTTTCCAGAACCTCAACAAGAAGCAGCGGCAGTCACTGCGGAAGATGGTCATTGACATGGTAAGGAGGTCGACTTGCAGATGCAATGAAGCTCACAGTTCACAGTCCATAGAGCTGACAAGCAGGTTTCCTGTACCCCGTCCCTCCAGGTGCTGGCAACTGACATGTCCAAGCACATGAGCTTACTGGCAGACCTGAAAACCATGGTGGAGACTAAGAAGGTAACCAGCTCTGGAGTGCTGCTGCTGGACAACTACACAGACAGGATACAGGTGAGGTTCCACCACCTCAGATGGTACCTAGACAGCCAGCTAAAGGTGTTTGCAAAGTAATTAGTTATGAAGTCATGTCTGGGGTTACCTAACAAGGTACTCTTGTCGTCTGGATGGCAAACAGGTCCTCCGCAACATGGTTCACTGCGCGGACTTGAGCAATCCCACCAAGTCCCTGGAACTGTATCGACAGTGGACAGATCGAATCATGGACGAGTTCTTCCACCAGGGGGACAAGGAGCGGGAACGGGGCATGGAGATCAGCCCCATGTGCGACAAACACACAGCATCTGTGGAGAAATCCCAGGTGAGTGTTACTGGCATAGCCAGAATTTTGTTTAGCTCATGACTAAATCCTTGGAGGAGTGGCCTTCTTGACTTGATAGTTTGGAGTCATCTTCTATTGTGTGATTCGGTTTGACCTTTCTCACAGGTGGGCTTCATCGACTACATCGTACACCCTCTCTGGGAGACCTGGGCAGATCTAGTACACCCAGATGCACAGGATATCTTGGACACGTTGGAAGACAACAGGAACTGGTACCAAAGCATGATCCCTCAGAGTCCATCGCCACCATTTTACGAGCAAGACAAAGGCTCTGGCAATGGAGACAAATTCCAATTCGAGCTGACACTGGAGGAGGAAGACTCAGAGGGCACGGAGCGGGACGAGCAGAGTCAGGGGGAGGACAGCCCAAGCGGGACACGCTCTTCCCCGGTATACTGTGATGACCCAGGGGCTGAGGAGGACCCCCCAGAGCCCACACACATCGAGATCATCACACAAGACGCGTCACCCGTCGACACGTAGCCTCCCTCGCGTGCCCCAACCATGCCGCTACCGTCGACGTTGGCAGATTCAGCCGTGAGGAAGAATCCCACGGTCCTGCTTTTTAGAAGCCTGGGTGTTGACTTTGGCTGGACCGGAGCCGTTTTCTGGGGTCGGGAATGGGCGGTGTCAGTGGAATCATGAAGGATTTCTCGGGAAATTGCTGCAGTCACTTGGAACTGGTTGACAGCCCATGCCATGTGACATTGAGGCGGGAGTAATGAAGGATTAAGACCGATCAGGAACCCTTAGTGGACTCGCATTGTGTTGCTGACACTACTGAGAGATTTTTCACAACGTGTGTCCCTTTTTTGTAATGGGATGTCATGAGGTAGCTTATGAACTACTGATATACATGTATTTGTACCGCACACAGTTTGCTCTTTTCTGTCACGGTTGTCTAAAGACTGTGTGCCTTTTTTACAGTTGTCTTTTTAAGATTTTTTTTTTATTTATTGAACACAGTCAATGTTTAAGGATGTTTTTAACTGAAGGCTCAAGAGCAGAATATTTCGTTTCTCAGTTAAAGAGAGAATACAAGTCTTCCTTATTGCTGATTTTGGGCAATATCTAAGCTAATACACACTGGCTCTCTGGATGGACTTTCAACAAAACATTTATTCCCACAGAAGCTTTCAGGCATATTTGTATAACAGTCATGGGAGATGGAAACAAAGGGGGGGGGGGGGCAAATGGACATGTTTTAACATGAGCACAATGCTTTATTTTATTATATTATTATTATTCTTTTTTTACTGGGACTGATAATTCGTATATGAACACCCAGAAAATTTTGATTTCAATGCAGAAGAGCAGAGTTCTAACGGTGAACATGTGGTATAATTTAGTCTCTATATTCCAACTGTTCAACACATAATTTTATTTTCCTTTAGTCTTTTCCACTTACTTTGCCCCTGGTTATACCAGCTCAAACCCAGATGAATTGGGAATTAAAGACCAAATGGTTAGCAATTTTGGCAGTGTAGACTTTACCCCAAAGTTGAGTAAAAAGGAAGTTTAGAATGCTCTAAATTTCTTCTTTGTCTTTCAATCTGCAGCAGTTTTGCACATTTGACAGTTGTCAGTCAGCCCAAGCAGTAATTATCTTCTGGCAACTGAGGATTTTGAATACAAGGAAATATTTTGGGCTCCTAAGGAAATAATATCTAATTATATAATATGCAACTGTAAAACAAAATATCTAGGCCGCACAGTTTACTCATAACTTGCAACGTGATATTGCAATTAGTTTTTTTTATGATTTACTTTTAGGGTGATTTAATGTTTTTTCGTAGTATCTGTGCAATTAAAACTGAGGCGTAACCAAAAATGCTATTATCTTTGCTTATTCACGGCATGGTGTTTCAGCTTTTTCAATATGGGTTGTTTTTTGGAAAAGAATGCTCAAAGATTGTTCCCTGGGAGAAGCTGAACCCCCCCCCCCCCCCCCCCCCCCCCGGGACTGGATTTCACTGAATACTCCTTGAAGCAGAACAGTTCTTTTTGTTGATTTCTCTTCTTTGTGTAGGATGCGGTTGGCAGAATTTTATTTTTCTGAAAACCGTACGCTGAAAGCCGTGTTGTCTTCTGCTCTAAAATGGGTGTGCATCGAGGTGGGCTGAAATGGAACCATTCAAGGAACGTGACTCCCAGAACATTTGTCTCTGTCCATGCGTGTGTGCGTGTGCCTGCCTGTGTGTGTGAGAGAGAGAGAGTGCTTGTTTCTTTATGTTTGGAGATGGTGACTTCAGCCACTCCGTCTCTCCTCCTTGCACCTGAGCCTATGTTGGGTCATTTGCTGTTTATAACAGTGTATTTAATACTTTTCCTTGTAAATAAAACAATGTTTCTTGTAAAGTTTATTTTTAATTTATATGCACTAACGTCACCTAAAAAGATGGGGACGGTAACATGTGGAAGACTCTGAGTTAGAGTCTTTTTAATAGTTATATATTTTTATTTTATTTTTTTTTTGTTTGTTTTCTTTTTTTTTTTTTTTTTTTTAATATTGCACAACATTCGAGTGCCCTGAACAGTAGCTAAAAGAGACATACTCAACCCATAGGATGCAAAAGATGTGTAATCCTGCTGACAAATGTACGAACTGGCAAGAAATAGAGGAAAATACAGCTGTGGAATTGGTAGGGCCCATAGGATGATTGTGACGCCTTAGCTTCTAACTCCACAAACAGCTAAGCGTCATGAATTCAGATCGCTGTTCATCTTGAACAAAGCTCATTAGCTCGTTATAGCGTGACGAACATCAATACACAGCTTAGTCCATAACGGGGAAAAAAAATGTAAATTAAATGAAAATATCGGTGGCATGTTTCAATTACTATAAACACCAATGTGAACTGATATGACACACAAGTTGTGATCTCGTCATTCTTGTGCTAATGTGAACTATTTTCTGACCAGATGTGTTAGCAGTTTTAAAAATCAAGTTGTCTGTTTAACATCATAACCTATGTTTAAGCTTTGGGTCCAAATAGTATCCAAATGGTTTTCCAGAATAGCACTATCTGCATGACCAATGGGTTTGTATGTCTGTTGAACACTGCGTTGTTCCAGGTGGTTATTTTAATGTTTTTTCCAAAATGTTTCACACAATGTATGGTATAGTATTGTATATTGTGTTCTACACAATCTTAAATACTTTTTCAACAAAGTTATTAAAAAGAAAGCATGACTATATAGCTGTTCGACGTGACGCGTTTTCTTTTAACCATCTTTTATCGCCTCAGATTAAATTTGGCTGAATTATGTCCTGGGTTTTGGGTTTTGCTTTATTCAGCTTGAAATCGTAGACGATTTCCTGAAAAAAATGGCAGAGTCGCCATGCAAAAGCACTGTGCACTGGTAGCTTGACCATCTTCCAGTGCAACTTTCAACCCTTCACCTAGTTTTTCGTTTATTCGCTCGTGCAACTGGAATGAAAACAGGAAACAGAGATCTCCCCTTAGATCACTTCTTATGAAAATTCTGTGCAGTCAGTCAGGTACTGATACGATCGGATCGCGATGCCCAAATGGGGGCAAGGGTGGGATATGTATACTACCAAATTACGTGTGATGACGAAAGCAGGCATGCGGGCCACTGTAGTGTCGCCACGGGACGTGCCTAATCCGACCAAAAATAAACAGGACCTCTTCCAAGTCCCATTTGAGCGGATGGGTCATGTATGGATAAAAACACTGGTTTCCGTTTCCCAGTAAGAATGGGACACAAGCCAAGAGATATAGCTGGCAAACGAAGAGCCAAGCGGGGACAGCTGGACTGGAATTTTTATTCGCTTCTGCTCCGTTTGGTCCAAATAGCATCCAAACGCTTCGCTGGCTAAATCCGTACTTCTGGCGACCAATCTGATAGGCTGTTTGCTCACCTTCTACCATCCTATCCTGGAGCCCATGCCTGGTACATGTCATCCGAGCCGCGTTGCCTCCAAATGCTTCGACGGTCGATGAAAACCTGAGATCTTTGGTCCTCGTGTTTCTCCCGGGGCTAGAAGTTGTGTAAGAGAAGCTGTTGAAAAAGGACACTTCCCCCCCCCTCTTAGGCACGCAGGTCTGGGATGGAGATTTCAGCCCTGGGTGCATGGCGATGTGGGCCGGCTCTTTTCCGTCCCGGTGGGGAGCTGCGAGTTGCTAAGAGATGGGAAAAGTCTGTTGTTGAAACACGGCGGCTTATGGTGGCAGGGTCACTGACGTCAATGCCACAGTGGGAGGGTGAAATTAAAGCCACCCGCGGAACGTGCATCTGCAAACCATAAACATTTGGATCGGGGTGCCTCCACTTGACTGGCAAGCGTCGTTTGTTAGTGGAGAGCATACAGCGTTCTGAACACCACGTTATGTCGATGCAAATGTATATACACAACCTTTGAGGTTCCCACATGGATCAAATTTGTTTGCCCTTTGCAAATAAAAAAAAAAATACAACCATGAATCACAATAAAAAATTATGTTCCCAAAATTTTATTCTGCAGAAAGAGGAGGTACACTATAAACGGCGCATAGGAAGAGCATGATTCTCTTCAAATGCAACCATAAACCAGTCATGTGACTTCAAGCAGTTCTATTTTTGCTGCTGGCTAATTAGCAGATAAGATTGGGTGTATGTTTTTCACACACAGAGGCGAGATTCAGGCCAAAAAGAGTCCCTTCTGCTCAAAATAGTGTTACTTTGGCGGTGGGTTCAACCGCTAAGAACGATTCTTCCAAGATAAAATATGGCCATATGTTGGAATCTTTCTTGACGGCGGCCATGTTTAATTCAGACACATTTTCTCAAGACCGTATGCGCTTATGGTTGCCTGCCTCTTGCAGTGGAGAAGAGCCAGACGCCTTGCTTGAGGATCTCCCGAGGAAGAGGAAATCTTAGAAAATGAAAGTCTGTGTGTCACCGCCCATGCGAAACTCCACCTGCCGTTTCTCCAGAAAAGGGATAAAATCAGGACATTTCAGATTTTTATCCCAAACTCACCTGTGCAACAGAGCATATGAGCAATCAGTGCATTGTAAGGCTTGAGAGCGTGCATGGTACAGCACAACGTTTCCAAGAGTCATGTGGACTGATCCAAAGCAGCCCAGATTTAGCATTTCTGTAAACAGGATCAGGCATGCTGCTGAATATTCAGTATCCAACACTCCGAAACGCAGAGCTTATACTGCCTGCATTGCCACATGGCAGAAAGACATCGCCCCGCGTCACACGGCTGGTATAATGACACATCATGCTCAAAGTCAACCATGATCGCTTTTGCACATGAAATAACCCCTTTCCCCTCCCTGAAGCTCATCAGTCCCCTATTTTCTGGACCTTGCATCTAACGAGAGCCCCGACCTTGCCTGAAGGGAATACATCGCAATGACAGCTAACTGGCACCGTTTGATATTATCTGTTTCCCTTAAAAGCTGTTTTTTTTTCATCTAATGGACGCATAGCTGTGAAGAAAGGCTGACTGGAACGTGGTTGTTTTTTTTCGCATCGCATTGTTAAGCTTCAAGCAATCTTACAGTATCGTGACGTGGGTAACACTGAGGCGGACTCTGAGGACACGGCGGGGAACGCCTCTACGGGGGCCATTTCGGCGTGAACTCCGCTGAGTCTCTCTCTTCCCCGTGCCTGGACTCTGAAAAGCCCCGTAGCTGGTTTAGCTCTGAGTGACCCTGAACGCTGGGATCATTCGGCGGTGCCGGGACTCCACCGGCTTCTGAACCCAGTGTAGATGGGATCATTCGGTGTTGTCAGTCACACACTGCACGTTTGACAGCATGTGTTAATACAGGTTTGGTGCTGGAACCAAGCAGATAGGCGGCCATTAGCATGGGTACTGGTATCAATGGAAAAAATTGGCAACTGTGGACTGGGGATCCACTGACCCGGCACTAATCGTCACCCACATACTGTATCTCACCAATAACATCCTAAAACAGGTTTCATTCACCTTGTAATGGGATGGAGTGCTTCAGCATAGATAAAGCAAGCAAATTTTCTAGACCTTGTTGATGCCGTACTGCATACGTGATACAAGCTGACTAGACGTGTCAGGCTCAACAAATCAGCCGCATCTAGGTATGTGTGGATGCCCAGCAGGCAATGTACTGTTTCGGAAAATCACCAATCACATCAAAATAACCAAGAAGGAAAGTAGTAAAAGAGGTGCTAATAGGATCAATGCTTTATTTGTTCATTCTGTTCTATTTGCATTTAATTTGGCCACCTGAAGTCATTTACTCTATGATGCAGGCAGGAAGCTGGTTACAGGTACCTATTAGCAAGCTCTCTGTTCTTATTATAGCATTATTAGAAACGTTAGTGATGCTCGTATATTATTAGCTATTACAATGGGTGTTATGGCACATGAGAAAAATCAAAGAATATTTGTTCTGACATATGAATACCTGCGAAAGACTGGCAAATGTATTTGTTTAATCTGTTATTTAGACATTGTCTTAAAATTTGTGAGTTTAGTTGTTGACCTTAAGCGTTTCAGTCACGCTCCTGCAATATTCCAGCTACAATTTAGATAGATGATAATTAGCTGGATTCATGTGTCATAGAAGTAACATTGTTTCATCTGTAACTTGTTAATGTTAGGGCTTGTAAATGCTACAGTAAGTTATAACAGATAACTGTGTATTTGACATTATGGTTATTATACTTATTGTGATTTTCATGCCCGAGTTATTAGTCGGTAGTCTATTGGGTGAGCATACAGGTAACTAGGATAACCTGTATATGACGTATGGTAGCGTTTCCCAATCCAGTTCCCGAGACCCCACAGTCGGCCTATGTTTTTGCTCTCTCCCAGCTGGACTGTCTGTGGGCCCACAAGGATCGGACTGGGAAACACTGATGTAGATCACAGGCGGCACTGATATGATTCTACAGCCTAGAAATAATGGGGCAAAACATCTGACTCCAACAAAAAAAAATATTTAGCGGTTTGTTCCAATCAGTTTATCAGAAGTGTAGCGCTCTCCGGGTTCTGTCGGCGTTCTTCCTGCATACAGCGTTGTTTTTCAGACTGTGGTTAAAGATATTTAGCTGATGTGTTACTGTCCCCATTTGCTCACAGGAACCTGTGATCCTTAAAGTTTCAGGCATCATAAAAGGCTCCCAACTTTGCTATCAAATGTAGCTCCGTAAAGTCTACTTTTGTGCTGTCTGTCTAGTTGATGTCATTGCGTCACACAGGTTTTCTATTATTTTTCTTTTCTTTTTGCCCTTAGAGACTGGGCTGATATTTTTAAGTCATGGGACTTAAGCAAGCACTTCTGACCAATGTTATTTTAACCGGTTATAACTTTCCTCTTTTTCAGGTGGAGGGAATCATCATAACGATATCCTAGCGGTCCATTTGACATGCTCTGCAAGTGAGACATCTATTAAATACATACCAGGAATCACATTGACCAAGTTATATATGTAGATGATAAAACCCAACTGTTGGGATGAGCAGCACGACCAAATTTGAGCGGTAGCCGCATACTTTGCATTCAGTCGAGGAACTGGAGAATGGTGGTTGCCATGACAACCGTGCGAAGGCTGTAGATCTCACTTGAATGCATCTCAAGGGATGTATCTGCTAATACAGGTTTTTTATTTTAGGGGATTGCCATATGTGTTAGCTCACTTATTGGTGCAAGTCTTCTATGAATAAATTGTATGAAATTATTCGGCACACAATGATCCGTATTGTCTGGTGATTGCATTTATTGTTAGTGTCATTCTTTATACTCTTAAAGGCAGAAAAGGGTGGGGCCACCACTGGAAATTTGCACAATTTGTTCGAGTCTTTATTTTTGCCAAACACACAATTTCCAATCGTTGTTCATCTCACTGGGCTTGTCATTATAATTCTCGCACGTAAGTGTTCACAATCGCTAGCAGAGTGCTCTGGCGACCAAATAATGGCCTGCCCCCCCTGGGGTAGTGGTGGCGCTGGCATAGGCCTGGTGGGGATGGTGGGGGCGCACTGGTCACAGTGGTGAGGGATGGGATTCATCCAGAGCCCAAGGCAGGGAGGACAGCGCCGGCAGATGGTCCCGCCGTGCTGGCGGGCCGCCGTGTGACTCACCCTCGAGACGACTGGGAGAGGAAGCCTCCTCATAGGGGACCGTCACCCCGCAGCGTGTCATTTTATTTCATTTCAGGTTTTTTCCTTTTTTGCGTGCGAAGGTGGATGTAGCCT